TATTTTGTTTTTTCTTCTTTTTTCATGTTTTGTTTTCACTTTATTTCAGGGCCTAAAATTATATATATACAGGGTAACTGGCGTTCGGGACGGGCCGAACGCCCCAACGTATGGGACCCCTCAGGAATGCGTTCTGTTGTTCGGGCCGAACACAAACCCAAAAAAAAAAAAAAAAAAAAAAAAAAAAAAAAAAAAAAAAACTGAAAAAAAGATATGTTATAAAGAAAAATAAATTAAACAAGATTTCCCTGAGCATTACATCCAAATTCCTCACCAAATATGAAATAAAAATAAGATACGGAGAACAAATATTAATAATAAAAATAACAAAAACTAAAAAAAAGAATTAATTTTAGTGAGTGCGCAAGCACGTTTTCGACACCGCCATCTTTGGCAATTTTTCATTTTTTTGGGGCATGCCTATACATGCCCTGAAAATTTACAGATGTGTACTTCACATAATGCAAAACCCACGAAAAACGTTTCAAGAAATAATAAAATTGTTTAGACCCCGAATTAAAGTGAAGACAAAAAAATGTGAAAAAAAAGGAGCACATTTTGACACCCCCATCTTTGGCGATTTTTAATTCTTATTTGGCTGAGCCAAATGAAATCAAAATTAATAGGCATGTACCTCACGTCATAGACAACTCACAAAAAAAAATTCACGAAAAAAAAAGAAGTTTAGGCCCCGAAATAATTTTGGGCGGGGGAGAACGCCGTCGGGTTCAGACCCGTACGGGACCCCGAACGCCTGTACGTACGGAGGTCGGCCCGGGGACCTCCGTATGTACGTGCTGGTGACCCTGTATATATATATCGTCACAAATAGAACTGCCCGGTAAACCGTAGGCAGAGAGAGAGAAGAGGACAACAAACGAGGGGCTGTGACAAACTGTTTCGTCGGAGTTTCACCGACTCATCAGGAGGCTGAACCCTCTATATGTATATATATATGACGATATATGTATATATATATATATATTTTTTATTTTATTTTTTGAATTTTTTTTGACGAGTTTTGAATCATGTGAGATACACATCTATAAATTTTCAGGGTATTTTACCAAGCCAAACAAAAATGAAAAATCACCAAAAATGGCAGCGTTTAAAACGTGTCCGCCCACACACTGATTTTAATTCTCTTCATTTTTTCTTAATTTTTCTTATTATTATTCGTTTTCCATATTTTACTTTTATTTCAAATTTGGTAAACAATTTGGATGTAACGCTGAGGCAGATGTTGTTCAGTTTATTTTTCTGCATAACATATATTTTTTTCAGGGTTTTTGGATGCTTTTTTAATTTTCTTTTGGATCCTCGTTTAGCTCGAACGGCCAAACGTGTCTAAGGGGGGCCCGAACTTTCGGGCGTTGAGGTTCTGCCGTTCGGATTTGGTCGTTTGGCCCCCGGGAACGCCGGCTACCATGTATGTATATATATATATATATATAGCTTCCTGCTACGGTTTTTTCTGGTCAGGTCGAGCGGCAATGGTCGGGGCCTTTACTAGGCGGCCATGCTGTGCCTCTAGTGCCAGCGGCGTGTCTGGAGTGTATTTTTTGGCTGTGACAGACCTTTCTTTGTTTCGTGGATGTTTTGCTGGCTTGTGATGGGGTGTGAAC